TAATGACTCAATACCTTTTAAGTAGTCTTAATACATAAAAATAAATGTGAAGAAAATGACCCCCTCCAAATTTAAATTAAATAATAAATACGATGAAATGCAATTTTTGGCTTAATGCTCAAAATAAAAAAGCGATGATATTCTCAATTCCCAGTGCAGGCCATGGGTCATTTAACAGTGGTTAAAACAATTGGGGCTCTGGATGCAGGACTGAAGGCTGAGGGGGAGCTCTGGGCCTCAGAGCCTGGACCCTAGCACCACCAGCCTTGAGCAGGCGACCACCTCTCTGTGCTTCAGTTCCCTCGCCTGTAGAATGTAGGTCATATGGGGACCTACTGCAGAAGCTGTGGCGGCCGTTATTGACTGTTGTCATTTCAGGACTCAGAAAAATGTCCTGCCGTATAGCTTGGTTCATGAGGTACTAAATGGGGAACAGCATGGTGCAGAGCAATAGGACCAGTGTTACTGCGTTTCTATAAAAAATGTGATATGAGTAGCCTATGTACACATAACGTGCACAGAGAGAAAGCCCTCTCTGTGGTGCTTTAGTAGAGGCCTGAAAGGATGTGCATCAACTTGAACCCCCAGGAGTAGTGAATGAGCTTCTGCTTTTCTATTTTGTAACATTTGACAAACTCAGCATTTCACAAACCCTGTGCATTCCTGTAACCTTGGCAAGTCTAAGAAAACGTGGCCAATATCAGAAATGTCCATTTCTACAGCATTCTGATTGACAAAGCTCTGTACAGAAAGCTTTTACAGATTTAGAATCCTTTGGGTATTGTGCATCCGAACCTTCACCTCCCGGGCAGACCTGCCTCTGTAGTTGTCTCCTTCCTGCACCTGTCACCTGAGCTGTCAGGCTCTCCACAGTGGATGGTGGAAATGTCTGTTTGCTTCCTTGGAGGAGGGCATCTTGTATTCCCCACCCTCATCTCATGGTTGAGCTATCAGTTTAAGCTTTAGAATGTTTATGTATGGTTTTGACTGCTTTCTCCCTTGCCCGTTTCTTTTCCTGAACCACAAATCTAATTTCTTTGTGCTGGCCCTAACACAGACATCGTCTGCTTTATGGACGAGCTTTTCCACAGGCTTACCGAATGCCTGGCTGTGTCCTTCCTTCTAGAGAAACCCGATGAAAACGTAGTTAAGCAAGAAGAGAGTCACCATTCCACAGATCGCCACCACCAGAGCCTCAAATGAGAGTCTCATCAGCCATGTTCCATCGGAAGTGGACAGCAGAAGACCATTCAGGAGCAGGCTGAGTGGGGCCTCTGCTACTGACATAGGAGCCCCAGTACAGTAGACGCCTATGATTTACAGACCAAAGAATAAACAGGTGCCCCTGAGCAGCCACTGTCACGCCCTGTGCTCTGAGTCTCCGATGACGGCAGAAGGGCAGTCCTACCCTGTGGGAAGCTGCAGACACCCCTTCAGTAAATGAGGGTCCCCCAGTGTTTTCATCTTCCCCAGAGCTGCTGGCAGCTTGGCAGAAGGCAAGAGTGACTTTGGCTTGAGAGAGTGAACTCTGTTGTAATAAATGAATAAATTGGTGTGCAGAGTGACAGATGGCAGGCCGCACCTCTGTTTCTGACTTGGGGGGCAGCTGAAATCTTCCCATTCACTTGTTAAGTGTTGGGTAAGTACTCTGCGGTTACAGTGAATGAAATGTACCCCACACTTGAAGAGAAGTTTGGGCTCTGAGGACTAAACTTTAAGGTGTCGTGTTCCAGAACAGGGAAGTGCACAGTCACCCTGGAGGGCCCATGGGCTCCTGGCTTGACTGTGACCTGATCCAGGATATTAAAGGAACCAGAATAAGAATGTGGAACGACGGACAGCCATGGCACTTACAGCTCTGCAAGTGGCCTTGTCGGAGCGGCCCCAGGATGAGGGTCATTGGGCTGACAACTTCCACTCTTTCCGCTGTGGATGAAGCCTCCCACAGCTACTCCATCCTCATCAGCACTCCGTGGGTCAGGCTCATTCTCCTCCAGTGTGGCTGGAGAGAGTGCCCTGGCCTGCTTCTCACATTGAATCTGCTGACGGTAGGTGCTAGCTTCATTAGTTTCTGGAATGGTCAGCAGGCCTCATACGTGGTCTCCATGTCTCTGTCTATTGATGAAGATCATAGTCTTTTAGTATTAAATAGTAGATTTGACTTCCAATCAGTTTCAGATAAATATTAGTAACCAGAGAAAGAATAAATCTCATAGGGACATTGTTTATTAACACACTATTAGCACCATTATTTGTTCTTATTCAATGCATTTACATATGCATTCTGACACTGAAAAATCAGGCCCATGAGAATGCGAATTTGACCCCATACAGGTCGGCAGGGCTGCCGTTCTCCACAAAATTTCTATTTTTTGGATTAACCTTCCATTTCTATTATTTGACCTAGAAATTGCCCTCTTCCTACCCCTGCCCTGAGCATCTCAATCTAAAAACTGCACTTACATGGCACTAGTTCTCATCTCATTATTAGCTTTAAGCGTAGCTCATGAGTGAATTTTAAAAAGGCCTAGAATGAACTGAATATGATCGTTTAAAGCAACTTCTACTCCTGAAACAAGGGGCTGACTGCACATTCCCCAGCGCCCTCGACTTACACGGATGCTGCGCACGCGCCCCCAGCACACCCCGCACGGGCGGCCTTCCCGGCGCCCGCCCGCCCGCCCACGGACACGTCAGGCCGCGGTCCCGCGTGAGCCCCTCGGGTTCGGCCTCCCCCGCGCGTCCGACCGGCCCGCGGGCACCTCGCAGCCCCGGCGCCCCGCAGGGGATCGGCCGGGGTCTCCCGCGGGCCGCCCGGGGACGCGCCGGAAGTGCGCCCCGCGCCTGCGCGCGCGGGAGGCGGGTCCGCGCCCGGCATGGCGGAGCCCGAGCGGGACCCGGAGCAGATCCGTCTGAAGTGCGTCCGCAAGGAAGGCTTCTTCGCGGTGCCTCCGGAGCACAGGGTGCGGCGCGGGGCCGCTCGCCGGCGGCGGGGCGGGGGCGGAACGGCCTGGGGTCCTGAGGGGCGCAACAGCCGGCGGCGGCGCCCCGGGCCCCGTGCCGGGACCGGCGTGCGGGTCCGCGGCGGGTCGCGGCGGCTGTCAATCGCCGGCCTCCTTGGGAGGAGCCGCTTCCGGGCTCCAACGCAGGCGTTTCTTAGTTCTGCGCCCGGGACGGGCTTTGCAGGTCGACCCAGGATTGCCTGTGTCGGGGGACAGTTTACCCGCGGGCAGCGTCGGAGGCGTGATCTCCAACTAGGCTTTGGATGCACCGGGCTGTGGCCGCCGGTGACCCGGCACCGCGTTTGCGCCCTGCTCTGGGCGGGGCGTCTGCGTGTGTTGCTGTCATGTAGTTTTCTCAGCGACCTTTTGCTGCGGTGCCACTTCTGCCCTCCTTGTAGAGATGAGGAAGGTGAAGCTCAGGGGCACTGAGTGCGTTCACCAAGGTTCACAGCACTCTCGCGGCACGTCTGAACCGTGGCTGCTGGGTGGACTCTAGGTACCTGCCGGTGCTCTGACAGGTCAAGTGAGGTATCCAGTAAGGATCATTAACAGACTGGCGCCAGGAGCACCTTGAGTCAACCACCGGCCATCCCACCTCTCTCAGGCCGCAGGGGCCCACTGCCTTCCAAGCACCGTGCAGTGAGAGGTGGGAACTGTGCTTCCAAAGGCAGCTCACGCACACTCAGACGGGGACAGTGCAGAGGGCACAAAGTAGGGTTTGAAGACCTGAAAGTATCAGGGGAGTTCAGAGAAAGAATTGTTTTCAGCTGGGGACCAGGAAGAACTTTGTAAAAGGGGTGGCAATTCTGCTGGGCCAGGAAGTGTGACTAGGGTTTGGATACGCAGATGAGGAGGCCTGGCGTGCCAGCCTCAGCACCAGGAGTGAAGTCACAGACGAGAAGTGCAGGCTGTGGAGAGTGCAGCCTGGAGAGGGAAAACGAGAAGGAGACTTGGGTGGGAAAGGAGGCCGAGTCCAGGCCAGACTTGGTTTCCCAGTTGTTAGGAAGGAATGAGATGGAGGGCAGGGTTTTGTCAGAGAATAGAGCCAGGGAGGCCAAAGCAGGGCTGTTAGAATCTGAACCTTGCTGTACCTGCTGCCTAGACCCAAAGAGATGTGCCCGTTCAGGCACCGTACTGTGAGGGTGTGCAGGCCCTCTGCCGTGACAGACTCAGAAACACTGGGTCAAGAGCAGACTTTCTTCCCTAGCATTGCAGAGGCAGCCATCTTCCACAAGGTGGGCCAGGTCCTCGGGTTGTCTGTCTGGTTCCGCCTGTATGTCATCCACGTCCCAGCCTGCCTCATTGGGTAAAGAGGCGTGGACCGCAGCCAGCTTGCTTTGATCAGGAAGTCGAACTCGCTCCTTCTCACATCCCATTTGCTAGAATCTAGTCACATGGTCATACCTAGCTGCAAGGGAGGCTAAGAAATATGGCCAGCAGCTGGGGGGCTGTCTGTGTCATAACTCAAAAAGAAGGTAGTGCAGTGTGTAGACATTGGGGTCCGTTAGTCTCTGCCACAGAAGTATTTACATTGTGTTTGGTAGATGATTCATAAGGGTCTGTACGCTTTTCCCATGTCCAGGGCATAATTCAGGCCGGGGCTGCTCAGTCGACTTTGTGTGATGATGCACATGTTCTTTTCTGAATCGTCCAATGTGTCACCATGAGCCACATGGGGCTGTAGAGCACTTCACACACAGCTAGTGCACCTGAAGAAATGAACTTTAGATTTTAACCCTGTATGGTTGGTGGTTACTGCTTAGCATACATCTGGACCACAGAATTGCAAGGGTGTGGTTAAGCCATCTTTGATACACATTCAAAGCATCTGGCCGCTGTTACCATCTCCCTTTTCTCATCTGAAAAGCCCAAATGTGTGGTTACCTCTGTTTGGTGAGCAAGACATGAGTGGCTCCTTGGTACAAATTGTGAAACTTCCATCGTTAGTGGTTCCCTCAGTTACCAAATCCCTGCACTGCCAGCACCTCTCTTTTTCAGCTGGGACGGTGCCGGAGTGTGAAGGAGTTTGAGAAGCTGAACCGCATCGGGGAAGGCACCTACGGCATTGTCTGTGAGTGGCCAAGTGTGTGGGGCACAGGGGACTGTCCCAGCAGGAGCTGTTAGGGGTGGAAGGAGGTTAACACCCCTTGCTCTTCAACCAGGGCAAAAACTAGTACAGGTGAGCTTTAACCCCTGGTATGACTAAAAAACCCCATACAATGTCTGAATAAATGTAAGCATTGGATTGCTGAGGTGTAACCATGGGTGGGGATACCTGTTAGAGCTGTGGCGTGTGGGACTTTGAAAAGCCGCCAGAGCTGCAGCTTGTAGCAGCTGCAACATTGGTGTGCATAATACTGCTAAGTGTTCAGAAGCTGCACAGATTAGCACGTGCTTTGGGGAGCCATCTTTGCACAAAATAGGGTTTCTTTTTCTAGGTAAAGTAGCTTATTTTTGTTAGGACACAGAAATGGCAGAACACGAAGCAGGGATCTGCATACTGACTGTAAGGTGAAGGCCTCATAGGGAGATAGTTACAACTAGGCACCTGCCCAGCTCAAATGAGAGGACTCCCCCAGAGCACCTGTCTTGTGGGGCTGGAGGTGTTGCTTGCACAGGGTGTCAGCAGGCATCCAGTTATCAAAAAAGAAGAGAAAGGGAACCTTGAGAGTTCAGGAAGAGGCCCCCATGTGGCGCGAGGACATGTGATGGGGGATCGGGCTGGATTCCATCATGGAAGTTTCCATTCCAGATCGTGCCCGTGACACCTTGACAGATGAAATTGTGGCCCTGAAGAAAGTGCGGATGGACAAGGAGAAGGATGGTGAGCAGGGAGGGGCGCTGGACCACTTTGAGCTCAAAGTGGGCTGGTTCAGAAAGGGGTGAGCTGCCCGCACCTCTGTCAGAGTGACTGGCCAGTATCCGCATGATGGTGAAGGGACTGATTTCTGAGGGGGTTTCTGGCCTGGCCCTGCCTCTCCCACCTTTTACTTCTCCAGCTTAGCATCCTCACCCCCATACTCCAGGCCTCAGCTCTCCTGAGCATTTCTCCCAGTTGTCTAGTGATTATCACCACCCCCCACAGGGCCTCCCCACTGAAGACCAGGCCATCAACCCCTGTGTGCGCCATGCACCCCCAGGCTGCCTGTGAGGGAAGGGCTTTGCCATGCTCACTGTGAATCTGTCACAACAGTGGTGGGTGTGGAGAGCTGGGCCCTTCCCCAAGGAAGGAGCCTTGCACTCCATAAATGAAGGTTAAGGGTGCTCGTTGGCATGCCCTTGATCCTCCCTGAGGTGGTGGGCAGAGCTCCAACAGTGATGGGTGCGGGGGTCACTGGGGGCTGACACGGTCTGAGGTGGGGGGCTGGCTGTGGGCGTCCCTCATGCTAGGGTCATGTCTGGTTGTAGGGGTCCCCATCAGCAGCCTTCGAGAGATCACACTGCTCCTTCGCCTTCGCCATCCAAATATTGTGGAGCTAAAGGAGGTGGTCGTGGGGACCCACTTGGAGAGGTGAGTGGTTTGCGGGCCCTCTATTGTGAGCCCTCCTGAGACCACCCTGCACTGTCCCTCCCTGTGTGCCCTTAAGATCGTGGTCACCTTCCTGCCGTCTCAGGAGGGTTGCTTGGCTCAGCCAGGAGGAGGGGGGAGGTGGCGTGTTCATGAAAGCCCAGCCCGTGTCAGCTCCCAGAGCCCTTTTTCCTTCCAGCATCTTCCTGGTGATGGGTTACTGTGAGCAAGACCTGGCCAGCCTCCTAGAGAACATGCCGACGCCCTTCTCTGAAGCCCAGGTGTGAGGCTAGGGGCCCTGGGTGGGGGCCTTCATGGGTCCTTCATGCCTGGCACATTTGTGCCATACGCCTCTCCCTGACGTGTCCCCACTCTGCGTGCAGGTCAAGTGCATTGTGTTGCAGGTGCTAAGGGGCCTCCAGTACCTGCACCAGAACTTCATCATCCACAGGTGGGGTCTTGTGCTGGTGAGGGGGTCCTGGGTGGGGCAGGGCCTCAAGGGATGTTTATGTCTAGAGGGCTAGTTCCTGACCCAGGGAAGGGTAGCTACCATTCCTGGCCCCGGCTTCTGATGCCAGTGTGTCATTATCCAGGACAGGAGCTGACAGCCTCTGCCGTTCTGACTGCTTGTGGGGGAGGGTCCAGGGCCAAATAATACCTGCCCTCCCCTCTGGAGTGCTGGTGATGTGGGTGTAGTCAACGCTCTGAGAAGTCCTGCATAGAGATCCTTCCTGGAGTCTTGCTTCATGCCAGGAGAGACCAAGGCTGGAGGTGTGGGAGCCTTCCAAACCCAGAGTGGCTTCCTGTGCCCTGGGGCAGCTGGTGGGGCCCCAGATGGGCAGTGGGGGCAGGACTGACGCTCACAGGAGCTTGAGGCCTGGTTGTGCCACTTCCTTGGTCACCGAGAGCTCTGGTGTTCCCAGCAGCCAGGGGGCCTTACAGTGTCTGCCCTCCCCAGTTATGAAAAGTCAAACAGGAGGAGCTGTGTGGGAAAGCGTCCTGGGCGCCACTGCGGTGGTGCGGACCTCCCTGCTCGGAGGGCCATTGACGATCTCTTTCCATCACAGGGACCTGAAGGTCTCCAACTTGCTCATGACAGATAAGGGCTGTGTGAAGACAGGTGGGCGCTGCACTGGCCGGGGCCAGGGGGAGGGGGCTTTGCGCGAGTGCCACCCAGAGGGGGGCAGGTCGGTCCTCACGGACATCCTGAAGGCTAAGAACGGGCTCCTCTGTCTCCGAGGCCCCAGACAGCAGCTTGTTAGCCTTCACTGGGTCACATACTTTCCCCCTTCTCTCTGCCCGTCACAGCGGATTTCGGCCTGGCTCGGGCCTACGGCGTCCCGGTGAAGCCGATGACCCCTAAGGTGGTCACTCTTTGGTGAGTTCCTGGGAGTCAGGTGCGCCTGGTGGAGAGAAGCTGGGGTCATGCCAAAGCCTCCAGAGGGTCTGCAGGGCCTTTAGGCTGGTGGGGTGGGTGCTGTGAATGCTCACAGAGGCCGGGTCTGACTGCAGCTCAGCACGGAGCCAGGGCGTCACAGTGGGCATGTCCAGCGCGGCTGGTAGCCTGGAAGAGCCTGTCTGGCCCAGAGGGGTCGCCCTGCCCCGAGGCAGCCAGACCCCAGCCTGGCTCCCAGCCATCTCAGGGAGGGGAGGTCGCCTCATCGACTGAACGATGGGCAGTTTCTGTGGTTAGTTCTCACTTAATGTTTCACGAAGCAGTAGGAAGGCAGTTAGTGGGGGGCAGTGACATCAGACACTCTCTGCCATGTGCCATCCAGCCTGTCGGTGAAGCGGGCTGGCAGGGGATTGGGGATGCTGTGGCACACAGGAGCCGTCTGGGCCAGCAACAGCAGCCTTTACTGTGAGGGTGACAGTGAGGTGTGGGTGACGTCGATGGTGACGGCAAGGGGTTAGGTCCAGGGGCCAGGGCTAGGGTCAAGGTTAGCTTTTCAGTAAGGTGTACGGGGAGGATAGGGTTATGGTCAGAGTCAGGGTCCGGGTTTAATGTCAGGCTGAGGGCGAGACTGAGGTTTAGTTGACAAAGCTTTAGAGGGTGGGGGTCTGAGCCGGGGCTAGCAGTCCTGTTGTCCGGCCGGCCGTGGCTCAGGGAGGCTGGAGGGTGGGCTGGATCAGAGCCACTGTGCCCTGAGGAGGAGTTGCCAGCTTGAGGTGGGGTACTTCTGTGTGCAGGTACCGAGCCCCCGAGCTGCTGCTAGGAACCACCAAGCAGACCACCAGCATCGACATGTGGTGAGAGGTGGAGGCCACCCCCAGGCCTCCGAGGGCTCGGGGAGCTCACGGGGTTGCTGGCAGGGACAGGAGCGGCATGGGGGTCTTTTCACAGCCTCCCAGCTCCAGGGAGGTGGGTGGAAGCCTAGAATCCTGAGAGGAAGTGGGGGAAGGAGCCTCAGTAGTCACAGGCCTGCCCTTGTCACCCAGAGAAGTGGGCCTGGCGGGGGCGGGGGTCAGCAGTCACATGTCCCTCGTGACCTCCTCCCAAGCTCTGGCCCCAGCATGAGGGAGGCATGTCGGGCAGCGCCTGCCCTCCCATGGTCGTGTGGGAGTGGCGCCCAGCAGAGGCGGGTGCGAGGCCCTTCTCCCCTGTGTAGGGCCATGGGTTGCATCCTGGCCGAGCTGCTGGCACACAAGCCCCTTCTGCCTGGTACCTCCGAGATCCACCAGGTGGACCTGATAGTGCAGCTGCTGGGGACACCCAGCGAGAGTATCTGGCCGGTGAGTGCCTGCCGCTGCCCTCGCCCGCCTCCCTGCAGGCGGCCCGGCCTCTGCAGCCCCTGCTTCCCACAGGGCTTCTCCCAGCTGCCTCTGGTCGGCCAGTACAGCCTGAGGAGGCAGCCCTACAACAACCTCAAGCACAAGTTCCCGTGGCTCTCGGAGGCCGGCCTGCGCTTGCTGAATCTCCTCTTCATGTATGACCCAAAGAAAAGGTGCCTGCCCCCTGGGCCTCTGCAAGAGGGCTCTTCAGAAACAAGTGCCTCCGAGAGACCCCCTCCCAGACACGCGTGGCCAGCCAATGCCCAGTGTGGGTGTGGGTGTCCCTGCCCGCACAGGTCATGGCGCCCGTGCTGAGGTTCCCATTGGTCTCTGGGCCCCAGACTCCTACTGCCACCCACCTTCCTGGTCGTCAGGAAGTCTGGCCTGAGGCTGCTGAGCTGGGCAGGGTGTTAATGGGCATGAGCCTCAGCAAGACCCAGGGTCATGTTAACGGCCAGGCCTCCTCTCCAGAGCGACAGCCAGGGACTGCTTGGAGAGCTCCTACTTCAAAGAAAAGCCTCTGCGTGAGTCCCCCAGGTCCTCTCAGGCTCAGCTCTTTGCGGTGCTCAGCCGGTTGCCCTTTTTGTCTGGGGTGGGGGTATTGGGGTACAACCTCATGGAGCTGTGGGGGGGGTGGCCTGCAGTACAAGCTCATCCAGTGGGCTGTGGACCTGGGCAGGCAGGGGCTGTGTGCCAAGGCCTGTGTGGGTGCTTCCTGGCCACACAAGCTGTCTGCAGGGTCCGAGGAGGGGAACAGAGAGGTATAGGGGTGGCCCCAGGGCCTATGACAAATGCAGAGTGGAGTTCAGACCCGAAGCACACTTCTCCCACTCTGGGACTCCCTCCTATCCCCTGGGGGGCTCTCCCTCACCCAGCACTGAGCAGGCCCCTCTCTGCAGCCTGCGAGCCGGAGCTCATGCCCACCTTCCCCCATCACCGCAACAAGAGGGCCACCCCAGCCACGGCCACAGGCATCGAGGGCCAGAGCAAGCGCTGCAGACCCTGACAGGCCAGCAGGTCAGCTGTGGGCGGGGAAGCCCTTAGCTGAGACTGGCCAGCTGCTCCAGCTGACTGCACCACCTCCTGCCGCCCCAGGAGCAGGGTGTGGACAGGGTGGTGGGGCAGGGGTGGTGCAACTGGAGAGCCAGGACACGGAGGCTGGTCCTGCCCTGGCCGTGGCGGCACCGGCTGGCGGCTGCCTGGTTCCTGCTCCTTGCCGTGCCCTTGGCTGGTAGATGCACAAGACCTTCATTTCCCAGAAGCAAACATCTGCTGGGACCATCTCTGGGTGTCACTGGCTTGGGATGAGGACACCTGCATGGCTCCTTGTGGTTCCTCCTGGTCACCAGGCTCTGCCTGGGGCAGCGAGGGGCTGAGGTGACCTCGGGAGGGCTGGTGGAACCCCAAGTGGGAAGGAGGGATCAGGTGTGGAGCACAGCCCATCTGGTGGGCTGGGGTCTGGGCCATGACCGTTAGAGGCCCCAAGAGCAAGGGTCCTGGGATTGGGGCTGAGTCCCACCCCCACCCCACAGAGGCCCAGGAGTAAAGGGTATGGCTGGTGCCAATAGGAGCGCAGAGATAAAAGCTTTCCTAACAGACACTGGTGGGTTCAGTGGTGTTTAATGTTCTCTGAGGTTCTGATTCATGGGATATGACAGGCGGGCTGGGGATGAGGGGAGATGAGACAGATGGACGGGCAGAGCACCCAGTGAGGGTCCAGCACAGAAGACAGGCACCTGCCCTCCAGTCCTGTGGGCTGAGGGCTCCTGGGACAGCCCCCTGAAGGGGCTCTACCCGCCTGCCTGCCCTGGCCTTCAGCCTGCCTCAGGGTGGCTGCTTTATCCCTGGGCCCAGGATGGGCGAGTGCAAAGCCTGTGAGACTCCCACCCTGCCTTTCACAGCCGATGTAGCAGGGCAGCTTCTGAGATGCTGGTTACGTAGAAGCTGCCACATGCCACCTGCAAGGGGAGTGACACTCCTGACCTGTCCAGGTCCCTGACAGTCACCCACCTCCTGCTGCCTGTCCAGAGAGCTCTTGGGGCTCTTCACTCTGGTTTGAGATCAGGTCATTTCTTCTCCCCACTTTCCTGCCCAGCTGTGACAGGGGCACATGGAGCCCATCTCAGGCCAGCACTCAGCTCATTCAACACTGGCCTGTGGCAGTCACAGGAAGGGGCCAGGCCAGCCATGTGCCTGGCAGTGCCCCAGACTGGTCCCAGCAGGGCTCATGCTCACAGTGTCACCTGCAGCCTGAGGACACCTCTGTAGAAAGAACCCCCTGGACACCTGGAGCGACCAGGTCAGGAGCTGCAGGCCAACCACTGGGCCCTTAGGGAGGGAGAAGGGAGAGGTGAAAGAGGGAGGGCGAAGGCCCTTCGTGGGGACAGGCTTGGTGCCGTGACCAGGACACACAGGCGTGCGTCTGGGGACTGGAGTTCAGCTGGCCCAAGGCAGGAGCTTCCTGTGGAAGGCAGGACCCCACCTCCCACTTTGTGCCCCCCACCCCCACCCCAGCTGTGCCCAGGATTCCTGGAGGGGCAGGAGAGGCGGGTAAGCCAGTGGCCCAGGCTTAAGGAGGGACATGGCCCAGAGAAGCACCACAGAAACTGTCTCTGGAAAGCCCTCAACCTGGCACCTGGCTGGGCCTAAGGCTGGGCACTGGGTCCATCATAGAGCAGGGTGTCCACCTGGGCACGCTGAAGCCACAGGCGCTGCTGAGTGTCACCAAGCAGTGCGCGCAGAGTGTGACCCAGGCGGCAGGCAGGCAGGGCAGTACAGTGGGCAGCATGCAGCTGGCAACACGTGTCACAGCAGAGGGTGGGCAGGGTCCCAGGGGCCAGACAGCTGTGCACCTGGTAGCCAGGGTGCTCGAGGATGGGCGTATGGGCACACTGGGGGCTGGCCTTCCCAGGGGCTCTGGGAGCAGCCAGGTCCACAGGCTGACAGGGCAGCTCTCTGCGCAGAGAGAGGAAGGAGAACGCCTCAGGCTCCGGCTCCAGCTCCTCCAAGGCCCCGTAGGGCGGGCTGCTGGCCCTCGGGGGCACCTCTGCCTCCGTAGGCCGTTCCCAGGCTCCACCCCCGGCACTCCAAAGTTTGGCGCTCTGCTCCCAGAGTGAAGGCCTGTAGGCCAGCTCTGAGGAGGGTGAATCCGGGCTTGGCGAGGGCCCACCATACAGGCTGGCCTCCTCTGAGCCCTCATCCTCCTGCAGGTCTCGGTAGAGGTCCACCTGGGCGTGGTACATAGCCGGGGAGCCCCGGGGGGGCAGGGGTGGTGGCTCTTCTTCTCGGGCCAGCCGCTGCTGCAGCCAGGCCACACAGGAGGCCACGTCTGCGCTTGCCCGCCGCGCCTGCAGCAGCTCCTCGGCCGGCAGCACGCTGGTGCCCAGCTGTGCCAGTACTTCACCCAGGATCTCACACTCCAGCCGCAGGGCAAAGCAGCCCAAAGCCACTTGCACCAGCTGGCAGGCAGGAGGTGGGGCAGCAACCATGAGGCGGTGGTTGTCCCTGAGCACGTAACCCATCTTCTGGAAGTTCTGGACGAGGAGGTCCTCAGAGAGTGCGGCCTTCAGCACGTGGACGTAGGCCCCCGAGAAGGTCTGCGGGGAGGGGGAGGGGCCTGGCTGGCAGCTGCCACACACCTAGAGGCCTGGTCCCGGCTGCGTGCTACCCCTGCCTCGGCCAACTCCAGGGGCCACCACCCTCGCTCCAGACGGTGACGGGCAGCTCTCACCTCCGTCCAGAGGAGCACCCCCACTCTGAAATCTGCTGGGGCAGCCTGGGTTCACCAATCAGGTGAAATAAAGAGCCCCTGTGTGGAGAAACCTCACTGCCTTGGGGTCCCCTCTCCTCTCATCCCTGGGGATTCGCCACTCCACTCCATCTCCAGTGTACCTGCTGCGCAGTCACGCGAATGCCAGCGCAGGGACTCGTCTGCGCCTCTGAACAGGCAGCCTCCTGAACACACTGCCCTGAACGTGCTCCTCCTGCCCCTGTCCTGACAGCGCTCCCTATGAGAGCAGAGGCCACTTGTTTTCCCCAGCTGTGTAGCGTTCCACCATGTGGATGCAACACCCTATTTCTTAGAGGCTCTTGTGCAGCTGGGCTGAGAACCCTGGGATAACAGCTGAGACGGTGCTCCTAGACTGCAGTTACATGAGAAACTGATTGTGTGTCTTTCCCAGATCTAAACTTCTGTACGTCTGGGACCTATGAGCATTCCTGTACTCACAGTTTATGACAATGCTTCCCTCAGACTGAGTACTATTGTACGCAAGCACTGTACTCAGGGCTTTGCATTCACCCCCCTCAACAGAACTTGACCTGGACTGTTGTGTCAATTTCAGAGGAGGAAATGGGTTCAGAGAGATCAGGTAACTTGCCCGAAGCTACACAACCAGGAGGCAGAACCAGACCCCATCCAGACCTGCCGAACACCGAAGCCCATGGGTGCGTCAAGTGTAGGCCTGTTTATTCTGCTCTTGGCCCCACCACAGGGCTGGCTCTGCTGGTCTCCTGCCCTCCTGTCTGAATGGATGTGTGAAAGGCCTAGAACCTCAGACCAGCAGGTGTCCTCCTAGAGCAGTGGGCTCCAGAGCTCACCCCTTAAAGGAGGCTGTCACTGCCATGGCAACCAGTGGAGGCAGACTCACCCATGTGCCCAGTGACATCAGCACGTTCCTAATATTCCAAATTAGCTCAGAGCCTCGGCTGCCTGCCTCTCCTGTCGACCTGAAGCTCTTCCAGAGGGGCCAAACTAGCCTTGGACACAGTCTGTCCCTGGGCTGAGGGTGAGCTTAGCCCCCCCAGGTCAGGCAGAGGCCCCTGCAGCCCCTGCCTACTTCACAGGGGATACACCCACCTGACATCATCTCCTACAAATGGGATCATCCCCCATCCTGAAGGGATTAGAGCGACCATGGAACCCCAATTCTATGCACCTGTCTTAGGATTTCTAGGGCAACGGGGGTCTGTCTCAAGGCCACTTTGGGGAGGGTAGTGATGCAAGCTTTAGGGGGTAGAATTCCCCCAGGAGGTAGGTACCCAGGACCAGTGTGGCCTCCACCCCATGTTCGCAGCTCTGAACATCAGCGAGCTGCCCCGACACGTCCAGGGCCCCTTGGGCGCCCTGGTCCCCGAGAGACTCCCAGGCTCTAAGGACACCTGGAACTCCTCAGTAATGGTGGCAGTCTTCCCATAGGTGCCCAGCCCCCACCAACCTGACAAGGGGAGCCCCCTCAGGCCCCCGGCGCCCTACCTTGATGGTGGTGAACTCCTTCCTCCACGGCAGCAGATACAGGTGCACGGCGGCCAGTTCCAGCAGCTCGAAGGCGCGGGCCAGGCCGCGCAGCGCGGGGGCCAGGTCGGCGCGGCCCCATAGGCCGTCGGTGAGCAGCGCCAGCGCGTCGTCCTGCAGCGCCCCGTGCAGGTCGAAGTCTTCCACCAGGATCTGCCAGAGCACCGCGCGCAACGACGGGTCCCCGCACACACCCGCGCGGCCACGCCGCAGTTCACGCTCCAGGCACAGACGGTAGTCCTCGGACAGCGAGCTGCTGCCCATCCTGGCGGGCTGGGCAAGGCAGGGGGTCAGGAACCAGGCCCCTCCCCGCCCGCTGAGCGCCCCCCCGATATCTACAGCGCCCCTCTTCCTGGGGACCTGCGCCGCGAGTGAGCCCCCCTCCCGATCACAGACCACTTCGCCTTCCAGATCGTGCTGCAGACCGGCGGGCTAACGCGCTACCTGCCCGTCCCCAGCGGTCCCCGAACGGCAGCCGAGCCTCGGGCCCAGCACCGCGCTTCCGGCGAGGCGGGCTCCGCCCAGGGGCCGCGACGCAGGGGCGGGGCTTCCAGAGGACACGCCCCTCCGCTGCTCCCGCCGGCCTGTCCGCAGCGCGACCTGCGTGGGCGGGGCCTCGGCTCCGCTGGGGTCTGCAGCGGCGGACCCCGCCCGGCTGAGCGTTTGAGCGACCCTGGGCCGCCCCCGGGCCGAGGACAGCGGGCGCCGGGAAGCACGCGGGGCCCCTTGTGCGCCCGCGTGGCGAGCAGGCGGGCGCGGGGACCAGCGCCCTCAGAGTGGGAGGGCGACGTCCGGTCTAGCATTTTGAGGAAGCACAGCCCTTTCGACATTTTCATTTCAGATTTCTGGCCCGCGGAATTTTGAGAGTAAACTTCTGCGGGGCGAAGCCATGCTCCACTCAATTTGTGGTGTTTCCTGGGCTGCCGCAGTTCTGCCAGCCAGGCCGGACTGAGGACCGAGCTGGCACGCGCCCACTGCGAATCTCCAGATGACGCCAATCCCCTGGACATGGGTCACTCCCACCTGGGAACTGACCTCGCTCGTGCAGGGGGAGCAAACAAGCTGTCCCCACTGAACCCTGCCCAAGTGGAAGACTCGGCAAAGTGACCGACTGCTGCCTGCCTAAGCCGGGGGGTTGGCGCCGTCTGGAAGGCAGCAGTGGCTGGCTGGGGCAGTGTGCGATCACCACACCCCTCTTCTCCCCAGGGATGGACACTGTATTGTGGCTCATGTCTCATATGCCACCACACTCAGCCTTGTCCAAATTTGTAGTTTCCACCAGTTCAATACAAAGGAAGTTCTACCTTGCTTTAATTTGCATTTCTTGGTGTTTTATGACTTTGAACACCTCTTGTGCTCATTAGTTTTTTAAACCTCTGTAGACACCCTGTTCATAGCCTTTCCTATTCTCCTAGTTGGGGCTCCCACACGGTCGGTTTACAGCATTTCCAATGTAAAGAATCGCCTACTTGTCCCTGTCTTATGTAAGAGCCATGGGTTTGGGATGCTGAAGGCCTGGCCCGAAGTCACACAGCAAGGGGCAGCCTGAGCACAGGCCTGTCTGGCCCCAACACCTTGAGCAGGTGCTGAAGAGACAGACTTCACCAGTGGTCGTGGTCCCTGGGGCAAAGCCAACTTGTGCTCCCACTACTAGGCTTAGCTCAAGACACACCTTCCTCCTCCACCTGCTTGTGAAGGGGGGCTTTGAAACCCACTGCCAGGGATGTCACTCCCCACTCCCAAGGCCCATGGCTGGCTGTGATTCACGTTCAGGACTGGGAGACTCAGAGCTCCAAGCTCGCAAGAGGGCACGCAGAGTGCCAGGTGGGCTGAGGACAAGAGCACGGGTGAGGAGCCGAGGGCAGGGCGGGTGGGCCAGGGCCAGCTTGTCCGTTCTTGGGGTACCAGTGGGCAGGGAAGCCCATCCCACAAAGGCTCCTGACAGAGGATAGCTGCCCCAGGGACTCTGGCTCTGCCCCAAGTCACTGGGACATGTCTGACCTTGGGTTCATGGCCCCAGGTATCCATGGGCCTCTGAGCCAGCCTGCTGGGCCCAAAGCCAGTGCTGCTGCCATTAGGTGCGGCCTGGAGAAGGAACTTCACCTCCCTGTGCCTGTCCTCTCACTGGGTCCTTGTGAGGCTTGGGAACACTGAACATCCAGTTGGCACAGAACATCCAATAGATGCCAACACTTCTGGTTCCCAGGGATCCAGCATCTGGTGCAGTTGGGCCCAAGTCACCCGCCTCCTTGGTGCCAGGCTGCCAGGGGCTCTCCTTCCCTGGCAGATACTGCCCGTGGCTGGGGCTGACTGCCTGCTTTCTCCTCTCCAGTGTTCAGTCAAGGTGCCCAGGTATGTTCCACAACTGGACAATAAAGGCGATTCCTGACTCTAGGCTCAGGTCCTGCCCAACCCGTAGGCCCCCTGAAGCGTGTCCTGTTCTAGACGGTGCAGCCAGACGGGCATCCCACTCCTACGCAGAGGGCCTTGGCTTGGTGGTGGGTCTCAGTGGTCTCTGGGATAGTCTGGTCTTGCTGATCAGCAGAGGGTGGCTGTGCTGTGTGGCCCTACCTGGCAAGTCCGGTGGGGAACAAGGGAGCCACAGAGAGCAAGACATCAGCAGCCTTTTTATTTTTGGCCAGGTCAGTGGCTGCCCAGGGGCACGTGATGATCAAAATGGGCCGAGGGCTGCAGGGAGGAGCTGACCCTCAAGCTCGCACTATCCAGAAGGGGACTGTGGGGGTGGGAATTGGCCAGGGTCCCAGGATGTCCGATGCCCAGAGGCAAAGGCATCTAGATACCAGTGGGTGCCCAGGGGATACCTGGGCCTTGGGGGGAGAGTAGAGTGGCGAATGCCCAATAAATAAACAGCAAACCACCTGGGATCCAGGTCTGGCGGGGACAGGCTCTCTTTCTGACTCTGACAAGAAACTGGCTCAGGTGGCTCTGACAGTCACCGGGCACAGGAAGGGAGAAAAACAGACCTACCCTCAGCCAGGCCTGTGGCCCCTTTGCCCTTGGGTCAGTGGGCCTGAAAGGCATCAGTGGGCTGGGCAGTAGGAGTGTGCAAGCCTAAGGGGACCCACAGCTCCAGTTTCCCTGCATGGAGCCTCTCAGAGGCTGGGACACAGGGAGAAGGGCCTGGTTTCTGGCAGCTGACTCAGCCCCACCCTGTAAGGGTCAGAGGAGCCTCCTTGAGCCCCCCGGAAGCAGCTGTCAGGACAGGGTTGGGGAGAGAGCGGCATAGTCCCACCACAGCTGGCCACACTGGGGGCACGCCTGGATAGTCCCTGGTGGGTCCCAGCCTCCTCTGCTACCTGCCCAGGGCTCCCGGGGGCAGCAGCTCCACGTAGCGCAGGGCACTCTGCAGCGATGTGAGGCAGTAACCCTCCTCTCCCATCAGGTACCTGCATGGAGGCATGTGGAGGCGGCACCTGTCACCTGGAGGGGATATGAGGCCCCGGCACTCTGCAAGGGGCCGGGGCACATGAACCCCCAACCTGGGAGCACATGCCTAGTCCCCCATGCTGACCCGGCCCTGGGCCAGATGCTCCTACCCATCGTGGATGAACTCCTCCAGGGCTGCACACTCTGACACCAGCTGGGGTAGACCACTTCTCAGCACCACAAAGGACAGGATGGGCAGGAGGTCGTCAGCACCACTGCTGAGCAGAGGCACCGGCAGTTGGTGGGCTCTGGGCACCGGTGGGGCTGCTCGATCCCCAAGTCACCCCATTCCCTAGCCCAGGCCCTGGAGTGGTCTTAGGCTGGCTGGACGCTCTGCGCCCCTCCTGCCTCCTTGTGTCAGGAGCTGGGGTGGACCTGGGTCAGCAGAACAGGAGACCACCCAGGAGCACAGCACAGGGCTGGACCCAGGAAGCCCCCGTGGGGGAGGGACAGGAGACACAGGGGTAGCTGTGACCTCACAAGCTTGCTCCATGGGCTTGTCCAAGCCCGGCGGACAGGATGATAGAGGGGACTGTCCATGTCCCGGGCAGCCTGCTTACTCCCGGGACTGGGTGTCACCCAGCTTAGCACATCAGGCACCCAGACCCTCTGCAAGAGGCATCTAAGTGAGCTGAGAGGGCAGCGAGTGAAGCCCCTCGGGACACTCAGAAGCCTAGCTGGTCTCTGGGAAGAGCATGGGGTCAAAGATTGTGGCTTAAGTGTGACTACCGGGGAGGCTTCATAATCATGAGTTCTCGTTCATGGCCCCTTCCACCTTTCTGGGTACCATACACTTGCAGGGGCACAGACGGCTCCCTCGGAGGGAGCTTATGAGGGCTGCAGCCAGATTCAGACACACTTCCATTTCTGGAACTCTTCTACCTGCAACTACTTACTTAGGAACCAAATGGTGAACTGGTGAAGGGACCAATGGGAGCCAGTCTGGGTCCCCTAGCCCAACTCTGTGGCTTAGGCCCAGCACCCTGGCCCTAGGTGGGTGGGCGGGGCACCTGTCCTCCTCTCCTTGGGTGGACCTCCTCCCTGTGGATCTCATGTGCAGCTCTGACTTCTACCTGCCCACCACCTGCAGGCCCCTGGGTATAGGTGGGTGCCACAGCCTGTCCACCAGGCTGCAATGACAAGTGCCTTGAGGATGACCCTGGTCCCTGGGGCAGGGTGGCAAAAGGCAGAGCCCTTGCAGGTGCTGAGGGGACGCCAGCCACAGTGGGCACCAGGGCTAGGGCAAGGGGTCCTTGGCCACCAAAAAGCCCTGGCCAGAGGATGGGGGGGGATGCGTTGCCCATAGGGGCTAAAGCCCAGGATCCCTGGTGGAAATGGGCTGGGTTCTGGTGGTGAACTCTGTGAATCTTGTGGAAGACCGGGCTGCTGGGGCCCTCATGGGCCACACACCAGACAGATACCTGCAGTCCTGTGCCCTGAGCAGGCTGTGCAGGTTCCTCCCCCCAGGCCTCTGAGGGCAGCCCCTCCCTCACCCAGCACCCACTCTACGCTGTGACACCCACCCTCTGTCCTCCCGGGACTCACATGGCGGTGACACCAGGCTGGGGCCCAGCCTCGGACGTGGGCTCCCGGGCCCGGCAGTAGTCCTCGGCACAGGCACACGTGACCCGCAGGGCCCGAACTGTGGCACAGAAGCGAGGCACTGTTTAAGGGGACCTCAAGGGCACCCTGGCACTGCCCTCTCCCAGGTCTTGTGCAGAGCTGGACACCCACTCCCAGGGGTACAGCCTTCACACTTTGTCTAATGGGACAGGACCCCATTTGACAGGAGGGGTGGCACCTCAAGCAAGAGGGTACAGAAGACCACCCTCTGATGGGCCCCTGTCTTCACCAACCACGTTCCTTCTCCAAAACCACTGCCTCACCGATGCACTCCAGCTTCTTCTGGGGGCAGGTCTCCAGAACCAGCAGCCCTAGCTCTTGGGCTGCCGCCCTGTAGGGGAAGCTGCCCGTTCCCCGGGCCTCGGGGCCATCCTGGGGGAGGAGCTTGGGAGGGATGCCGATGGCTGCTGGGGGTGCGTTCCTGTACAGCTCCATGCTCCTGCTCAGGGCGGCCTCCCGGAGGCGGTGCACGCTCCTGGGGTGGACAGAAGCCAGGCTCAGCTGCCCAGGGGAGCTGGAAACACCTGAGGGTGGCCTCAGAGCAAAGCCCCAGAGATCAAGAAAGGGACTGGGGGCACTCCAGTGAGTGGGAAAGGTCCTGTGGGGGCCCGAGTCGGGGCCATACCTGTAGAGGGCCAGCAACAGGGGCCACAGAGGGGAGAAGAAGGGCTCCTCAATGCAGGCCAAGCAGCGGTCTTTGGAGGAGGCCGTGTTCAGGCCTTCAAAAGCCAGGAGGGTCAGCGAGAGCAGCCTGTCTGCCAGAAGCAGAGCCAGAACAGCGTTGCTGGGGGGACGGCTCGGCCCTCTGGCACCGGCTGACAGCCCTCGGAAGTCACCCTCACCAGCCCGGGACATCAAGATGCGCCGCTCACCTGCCACCTCCTCTCCCACCCTCCCAGAGGTAGCCTCAGCATGGGAAGGTGGTGTTCTAGCTTGGTGGGGAGGGGGGTCTGACTGGCCTTTCCTCCACTCCCCCAAACTCCAATGTCCATGTGGCCTGAGATCAGAGTGAGGTGTCTGGGCCCCCATCCCTAAGGGCTCACAGGGTCACACCCAGATCCCCTGAGGAACCAGGGAACAGGCCTGGAAAGAAAGCGAAGGACCCAAACTGCAGGAACCCAGAACTTTAAAAGCACTGAAAGATAAGAAATTTGAGACCCAGGGCACTGGGGGACCTGCCAGGAGAGAAGGAGAACCTGCCAGAGCAAGCGAAGGGGTAGCTCTGGGGGTCCCTTGGAGAGCACGGACTCCAAAGAGAGCCTGCGTCCCTGCTTCGGGATCACCCTGAAAGTCCTCCTCCTTGGAAGGGACTTGATGCCATCTGCTGCCATGGGCCCCAACCTGTAGGGAACCCACATGCTGTTCTCAGAACAGAAAGGGCTGAGGGGTTGAGCCCACCGTCCCCAGAAGGCTGCATGTGCCCGACATCCTTGGTTCAGAATGACATGAGTCTGACCCAGTGGGACAGCCAGGAAAACCTGGTGGCCAGAAGCTCTGAGGGCAGACCCTTCCCCAAGCCAAAGATGGGAATGCACCGGCTGCATCTCCAAAGACAGTGGGGTTAAGGAACCAATCCTGCCATCAGTGCCAGCTGCTATCTGAGCAGGGTGATGCCTGTGGGCTAAGAGGGTGAATGGCCCCAGGGAAGAGGGACAGAGAGGGCTCTACAAATGGGGCTGGCCTGGCAGCCATTCAGAGAAAGCCCTCCTCCCTAGTATTCTGCTGGCCATGGGCTTTAGCCTCAGAAGCTGTCCCCACCAACCCGCTGTCCTGTGGGCGCTGGCCTCACCAACGGCATTGTGGATGTCTTTCACAGTGCTTGCCAGCTGCTCCAGCGACTGCTCCTTCACCTCTGGGAACTGGGGCTCAGGCCGCCCCCCAAGGTTCCGGCCCGACCTCTCAGAAGTAGCCAAGAACTGTTCCAGGTCCTCAAAGGAGCTGTCCTTGTCCAGGGAGTGGGACGTGGTGTGTGCTAGGGGTGAGGGAGGGCCCAGAGGGCTGCTGTCCACTCCTCCGTCAGGAGGTCTGGGCTGGGCTGGGGGCACGCCAGCTGCAAGGCCGTCCAGGGGCTGCAGGGCCAGGCTGGGCTCTGGCGTGGAGAGCACGCAGTAGAGGCTCTGTGAAGGCCGGAGCCGCCGGCTCCCAGGACCCAGCAGCTCGTTGGCGCCCCTGCTCACAATGGGGTACAGCGCCTGGTACACTGCACACTGGAGCCTCTTCAGGAGCTGCGAGATGGGGTGGTCGGGAACGCTGAGGGCAGAGGAACGCCGTGTGGGGGACAGGTGTGCACTGGGCCAGCTCCCCCGCCGACAACCCTGCTGTGTGGCAGCCAGGCCCTCTGAGGAGGTCAGCCCTGAACAAGGGTTCCAAGGGCCTGGGGTAGCCGGCCCCTTGGAGGCCTCACAGGCCCACTGATGCTCCGGCCACCACCAGCTTTCCTTGGGGACCCTTCTCTTGACTGTTTTCCAGCTACAGTACCTGAGCAGGTGGGAGACCAGGCTGGTCACCAGGGACAGGTCCCCGGGGCTCTTCTTGAGCTTGGCCTTCCAGTGCTTTGGCCAGTCCTGGAGGATGGGAGGTCTTGGGAAGAGCATGGCAAAACCGGGACAGAAGGCCACTGGGTCCACTGAGGCTGCCCCCGGGAGATGGGCACCTCACCGCCCATGGCCCTGGGGTGGCAGGGAAACCTCCATACAGGCCTTCGGTCCACACCCCACCCGGTGACTCACGTGGTCTTGCTCGTACTCAAGAATGGCGGCATACAGGGCCCGCTGTTCCTGCTCCTCCGGGGTCAGGGCCACCTGACTGCAGAACCTCCTGGGGAGGAAGGACAGGGCTAGGGGCCTCAGGGCTGGGTGGGCGGGTCACCCCTTAGGGCCCCCACTGCCCGTGCCGCCCCTAGGTGAGGGGGGTGGGGGAGATACACCTGTTGGCGGCCTCCTGGAGCCGCAGCCGGCGCTCCCCCATCTTCCTCTGCAGCTGGGGCGGAAGAGTCAAGGCCAGGTCTGGCGGGGTGGCACTCACATGCCCTGAGCCCCAGCTGTCCCGGCGCCCTGCTGGACACAGGGTCTAGCTCTTGCAGGGCTCAGCCGTCCAGGAGGCACAGTCTGACTGGGTGGGTTGGAGAAGACGGCGGCCACAGAGGACAGGAACCCACTCAGGGAGGAAGGCAGGTCCTGGCCCACTTGCAAAGGCCCAGAGCCAGGAGGGGGCTGAGCAGGAACCATCCCCTGAGGACACGTCTCTCTGAAGCCGGGAGAATTTTGTTCCCAGGCTCTGGCTGTGGCCCCCTTACTCCCGACCCTGCCCTCTTCACCCGCAGCTCAGGATCATCCCGAATTCACCCCGCGGGACACTGAGGATGGGCCAGAAGGATACGGTCTGCTCCCGGGCCTTGGCGATCACCAGGTTCTCCATCATCTGCCGCTGCAGAGACAGGCTCTAGGAAGGCAGGTGGGGAGTAAGGCCCACTGCCTCTCCCCGACCAGCCCCAAACGTCCCTTAGGCTGCTCACCAAGGATGTCTTCTGTGTGGCCTGGCTGGGGTCCAGACGGGCCATCCGGGCCTCGTAGGCGGTCTTCAGCTTCTGATTCTGCAGGGAGGCCTCCTCCAGGGGTGTCAGCTCCCTGGAAATGGTGACAAGCTGCTGTCCAGGCTCCAGGAAGCCCAAGAATGCTCTGGCGGTCCGAGGACCCTCCCTGACCTTGCCCTAAGGTCAGAAGGCAAGGAGGCGGGGACGGGAGCCGGCAGGAAAGGTACAAGACGGGGGAGGTCTGGGCTGGACTAGAGACACCTCTCCTGCTGAAATGTGGGCCCGCTACTGCCAGGACTTAGGATTTTTCAAGAGAAGCTCATGTTGGACCTCTACACAAATCAGTTACAGGTGTTTGGCAACGATGGCATCTCTTTGAAGGCACCATGTGGGCCAAACAGCTAGATTAGTCTGCCACCCGAGTGAGGGATCAGAGCCACCTGACTGCAGCCAGCCTCTCTCCAGACACTGCTCAGAGACGGTCACCAACAGCCACCCCACCACCAAAGCTCTCTGTCCCGTGTCCTCGGGCTTCCGTGGTGTGAGAGGGTGAGCCGCGGGAATGCAAGACGGAGGAAGGAGGTTTCTCCGGGAGGGAAGTCTCGTGCCTGGCCTCCTGCACAGCAGGGCCCCTGAGGCCTGGCCACACGCCGGCCAGAGCAGCCAGCCTTCCTCATTTATCCCACTTGGGATTTGTGCCCGTGTGTCTTGGGGTCCCTCACCAGTTATACAATGTTGTCTGCCATCTTTACTTCAGATAATGCCTCTCTCATTTCTTTCTCCTTTTTTTCTGGAACTCTGATAACCTTATGTTAGACTTCCCATTTCTCTTTCAAATTCTCAGTTTTTTCTTTCTGTGAGTCATTCTGGTTAGCCTTTGACCTTTTATCCAGCTCACTGATTCTCTTTTCAGCTTTGTCTACTCTGCTGTTATAAACTTATCCACTTATTTTTGTGTGTATGTGCTGAATTTACTGGAGGATGTAATTTGTTATTATTTCCAATTAGCTTTTAAATACAATTTTGGTATCACATTCTTCATTTTGTTTCTACTCGGTTCTTTATTTGCTGGATCAGATTTTATTTCTTGTTCCCTACAGGTTATTTTCAAGCTTGCTGTTTATTTCTCTAAATATAGAGAGCATGATCCTTTTAAAATCTGTATCACAACCTGTATCTGGTAACTCTACTTGAGAACTTTTCAGGTCTGCGCCTGCTATCATTTCTTCATAGTTTCTTGATTCTTTCTGTGCTTGGTTTTCTTTGCATGTTACTTATTTTATCCCAGTTGAAGGTGCTTTTCTCCAAAGAGGATCTGCATGTGTTTGTGCTAGGCACAAAGGTATTTCCATTCATTCTGGGGCCCCTTTTAACTGAATTCCCATTAGCTCACTTGGCCTGGCCTCCAAACCCAGGCTCGGTCCACCTTACATTTCGCCCCATCTTACTTCTTAGAGCTTTGTGACTCTGCCACCTGAAGCTTCTGGAAGATCTCAGGCGGCAGAAATGGAGAGAGCTTCCCCCCTTCATCTGAGTACACCCGGCGATGTCGGCTGGTAGGTGAGGGGACAGGAGCGGCCAAGGGCATGGCTGGCTTCAGCCGTGTTCTCCCTGCAATTCATATGCAGCCAAGGGTCAGAATGGGGGCTCCACTTTCCACAGAGGAGACACAGACTTGGTGGCAATGCTGCAGGAAGACTTCTTGCTGGAGACCCACCAAGCTTGGCAGCTGTTGACTGGGCTCTCTCCAGACACTGCTCGGCCAGCTTCAGCATCTTTGAGGTGTCTGGGGGCACAGTCTCCCCAGCTTCTGGGGGGCAAGGGACAAGAAGGCTGGTCACCATCATCTCTATCACTAGTCAGATTCTTGCTGAGATAAAAATAAGGGTGGGGCTACTCCCCCCTCATGGCTGACCGACTGCCCTGACCTGTGTGGGCACTGAATTTGGCCAGCCCAGCAGCTTCTTGTCCTGTTGTTTTGGCTGGACCGCTGGAGCCCTCTCTCCACATAACCAGGCCTGTTCTCCTCCCTGAGGTGGGCCCTGCAGGCGATACAGGCCACCTCCTACCCTCTAGCTGAGCTGGGCCGCACCCTGGTACACCTGGCGCTTCTCTCCAAGGATCACCCCTCCCAGCAGACACACACCGTAGAGCTGTCACCTGAAACTCCCCACTGGGCCCCACCAGCTATAGCTCCTGCCTCACCTCTGGTGCCCATTGCAGTCAGCCCCTCACCACACTCTACTTTAGCTGCCAGACCCCTCCCAAAGCTGCTGCTGCTGCCCCTGCCCCACCCTGGCCCAGGCCATTCTCTGAGTGCTTCCTGGCCTCTCAGGGCCTCTCCCCTGTAGGACACTCCTTGGGGCCACCCCCATGCTCTCTCCCAGTTCTCAGTCTCAGAGTACCAGGCTCTCCTCAGCTCACTGGCGCCCCAGGGCAGCTGCTTCCGCGCCTCCCGCCTCCCCCACTGCTGTGCTCCTGTGACCCTGAGGGTGCTGGACACCTCAGATGGGACATGCTCACAACGGGGCACTCTGAGCCTGCCCCCAAGTCTGCTCCTGCCTCTCTCTGCACTCTCTCCCTTGTTGTCACCCCACCACAGCGGCTCTTTGTCCCCCCAGCACCACCCCACTCCCCCAGCCCAGCAAGTCTGGTGGGGTCCACATTAAAAGAACATCCCCAGGCCCTTTACCCCTCCCATCTCCAGGTGGTCCTCCCACGGCCGCCCGCACTGAGGGGGCTTCCTGGGGGCTCTGCTTCCAAGCTGGCCTTCTCCCTCAAAGCTTCCCCGAACCTCCCTTCACGCCAGAATGACCCTGGGTGTGCACCTTCCGCCCTTCCCCTCTTCCACCAGCCTACTCATCTCGCACGGGGCACACACTCTCATCTCAGGGCCTTCACACAGCTCACTCCTCCCTGGGCTGGGCTGGGCTCGGCTCACTGCCACGCCCCACCCTACCTCCATGCCCTTACGCACATCACACCACAGCAGTGCGGGCTTACTGAGCGCCCCCCTACCTCCATGCCCTTACGCACATCACACCACAGCAGTGCGGGCTTACTCCCCCCCCGGCCCCGTTCACCTTTGACTTAATGACCGAGAGGGTGGGATACAGGACACCTGCAGGCCTGGGACACACCAAGGGCTGGGCTGTCCAGTTTGCCCAGCATGGGAGTGGCAAGGCTGAGAGCTGTACCTTTGGTGGCTTCCACTTCTTCCAACAGGACCTGGGAGATATAATGGATGCTCCTCAGGTATTCAGTATACGCCTCCTGTGCCCAGGGAAGAGAAATGGCAGGGGTCAGGCTAACAGAGGCAGATGATTCCATCTTACCTGCCTGGTGCCTTTGTGGGAAGCAGGGGAACAGTAGCGCCTGCTTCTGAGATTCACCTGAAGCACCTGGCCTGAGGTGGTTACCTGGTAATTTCTCCAGGTCTGATCAGTGATATGCTGCCTGGGGCAGATAGTACCTCTTCAGACTTGAAGAAGAAGATGCCCAGCTGGGCACCCATCCCCCTCTCACTGTCATCCTCTCCAGCACAGGAAGGAACTGAGATTCTCATCAGTGGGCCTTGGCAGTCGCTATCATTTTTCACTTTGTGCAACAAGTTTCCTTCCTGTGCAACTCAGGGGAAGTTCATTGAGTGGCTTTAAAAAGTATATTTCCTGGGAGGTTAGTGAGGGAGCTGATGTTGCAAACATTAGAATCACTTTCTGGCTGAGGTTCTGGGAAATCCCTTTCCTGGGCACGCAGGAGTCTAGAACACTAGAATATTGCCACTTTGAAGGGGTGACCACTCTGTTCATGGCTCTCTGTCAGAAAGCAGGGCATTTGGAAACACAGCATGGTTTTCAGTGTTTTGTTCTGCTGCATCCAAGTTCTCAAATTACTCACTTTTAAGTTTACACTTCAGAGATAAGTGTGCAATGGATTCCAGGAAGGATTTCTGACTTGGGGCGGGGGTCCTGCTTCCCTAGAAAACCTACTTGGCGAAAGCAGTGTGTGAGGGGCCAGGATGCCTTTCCGGGGCGTACGCAGCTTCTTCCCTTCCTTGGGCAGCCCAGTGTGGCACAGCCTGCTTTTCCACCTGGTCAACAGCCTTTGGATTAACACCTGTTCTCAGTAATAAGCCACACTCCTCCCCCACCTGCATTTCTTCCCAAGCAAGCTCTGAAGGCCCCTGGAAAGCCGCAGCACGAACGAATCAGCCAACGGTCTTTGCATTCCGTCCTCTATGGGAATTTGATTAAATCTACAGTGTGTGCCCAGAAAAATACACGTACAACATGGAATTGTTTGCCAGATATATTTTAGAGGGCTGCTTCACAGACCCTCTTGAATCCCCATTACAAATAAAACCTCGGATCCAATTCCCTACTCGCTGAACACTGGGGAAAACTGAGCAGGGGAGGGCTGGGAGCTGTCCAAGGTCACAAGCGGACACCCCAGTCCAAAGCCCCGGAGAGCGCCGGAGGGTCCGGACGGCGCCCACCTCCGCGGCCCCGCCCTCGCCCACGCCCGCCGGGCCTGCCGCAGGCGGGGGTCCGCCTGGAGCCCCCGCCTCGCCTCGCCTCACCCGGGGCTGGTTGCCGGTGTCCAGCTCGATGGCTCCGTTGGCCAGCTTCATGGCGCACTGCAGCGGCTTCACCGCGCCGTCCCCGGCGGCAGTGGCCATGGCGCCGGGCTGGGGAGGCGGTGGCGGCCGCCGGGGGGCGGGGCGGGCGCCCGGAGCACGGAACTCAGACGCTGGGGAAGCGGCGCCACCCGAGCCGCGGACCGGCGGAAGGGGCGGGGCCGCGGCGGGAGCCCTTCCGGGAGCTCCGCCCTCGCCGCGCCGGGGCTCGGCGCTCGGGGCCGAAGGGTGGCGGCGCGCCCGAGTAACGTCCTCACGCAGCCGCGGGTGTGTAAGTGCCACAGCCCGCGCCCTCCTCTAAGCCTGTGACAGGCCCGCCGCGGGCCCCGCTGCGCGCCCTTCCGTCAGGCCGCCCCGCCCCTCGCTCCGCCTCGCCTCGGCCCTGAGCGGAGCGGAGCCGAACGGCCGAAACCAGCGAGGACGGCCCAGCCCCGCGGAGCAGAGGCTGCGGGCTCGCGAGCGGAGCCGGGCCCAGCCGGGCCGAACGAAGCCGAGCCGAGCGGGACTTAGACGGGCGAGCGCCGCGGCCGAGCGGGGCGGAGCGCCGGGCCGGGCTCCCGCTGCGGCCGCCATGAAGCGGGACCGGCTCGGCCGCTTCCTGTCTCCTGGGGCTGCGGGGCAGCGCGGGGGCTCGAGCGGCGGCGGCGGCCGCGGTCGGAGCCGCCCCACCCGCCGCGGGCCGCGCGTGGACGCGGCGGCGGCTTTCGTGGCGGCGCGGCTGGGCTGGGGCCGGGCGCGGGCCTGCGGGGACGCGGGCGAGGACGGCACCGACGAGGCAGGTGGGTGCGGCCGGCCCGCCTCGAGGGCGTAGCGGCCGGGCGGGCGGGTGGAGCCGGGGCTCCAGTGGCCGCCACGGCCCCTTAGTGGCTGCCACGTTCCCTCGGCGTCCCTGGGCTGCTCAGAAAGCCGACTGGGCCCGGGCGTTGGGGAGGGGCGAGAGCAGCCTCCCCCTGGCATCCGGGCAGCCCGAGCGCGTGAGGTTTCGCGCAACGGCCGGCCTTTTCGTGGCCACTCTGCGGTCGTTAAGTGATCAGCCCTCACGCTCTGCAGTCCACAGGCCTCGGCTCCCATCCTGGATTGCATTCTGCTCTGCGGCCTCGAGGTAACTGCTTGACCTCTCTGAGTCCCAGCTTCCTTTTAACTAAAAGAGAACTAAGTGGGGTAAGCGTGGCAGGTGGTACAAGCCTGATGTGCGCTTTGCCTCCGTGGAAGGCTCTTGCTTCCTGGGGAACTGGCTTCCCGCTGCTCTCCCGTAACCCTTGGGGGAGAGAGAGGGTTGTGGCATCTGCCAGGAGGGCAGAGCATGGACCCCCTCACGTGTGGTTTCAGGAGGATGGTGTGAGGAGAAACGAAGTTTGCACCTCTTTATGAAGTTCCATGGCTGTGGAGGCATTTATGAAAAAAAAATTTTTTTTAGATTTATCTTTTAAAATATTGTCAAGTTATAGCTGACATTCGTTTGATATTTGTATATATTGTGGAATGATCACCAGATAAGTCTCCATTACCATTACCATGCAGAATTCTTTTTTCTTAGCAGAACTTTTAAGATCTACTCTCTTGGCATTTTTCAGATATACAGTACAGTCTTATTAACTGTAGACACCGTTCTGTATTACATCCCCAGGATTTATAAGTGGAAGTTTGTACCTTTTGACCACTTTCATCCATTTCACTCCCTCCTCCCCAGGGTCCACCTTTGGCAACCGTCAGTCTGTTTTCTGTTACCTAAGAGTTTGTTTTTTTCCTATTCTCTTTCTTTTTTAGATTCCACATATGAGATCATATCGTATTTGTCTTTCTCTGACATATTTCACCTAGTGTAATGTGGTTAAGTTCTCATGTTGAAAATGGCAGGATTTCCTTTTTTATCTTTGAATAATATACTATTTTATATACACACACTCATCTTTATCCATTCGTCCATCGATGTACACTTAGTTTGTTTCCATATCTTGGTTATTGTAACTAATGCTGCTGTGAATATGGGAGTGTATGCATATACATTTTGAATTAGTGTTTTTGTTTCCTTTGGATGAATGCCCCGAACTGGAATTGCTGGATCATATGGTAGTTCTGTTTTTAGTTTTTTGAGGAACCTCCATAATGTTTTCCATAGTGGTTGCACCAATTCATATTCCCACGGACAGCGCACAAGGGCTCCCTTTCCTCCACATCCTCATCGACACTTGGTATCTCTTGTCTTTTTGATAACAGCCATTGTCAAGATGATACCTCATCAGGGATTTGATTTGCGGTTCCCTGATGACTTGAGTGTCAGAACACCTGCTCATGTACCTGTCGGCCATCTGTGTGTCTTTGGAAGAATGTCTCTTCAGGTCCTCTGCCCATCTAATCAGATTGTTGGTGTTTTTGCCCTTGAGTTGTATGAGTTCTTTGTGTATTTGGATTTTGACCCCTTTCAGATACATGATTGGCAAATATTTTTTCCATCTGGAAGGTCTCCTTTTCATTTTGTCAATGGGTTTTCCTTTGCTCTGGGGAAACGTTTGGTTTGATGTGGTCTCAGTTGTTTATTTTCAGTTTTGTTGCCTTTGCTTTGTGTCAAATCCAAAAAATCATTGTCAAGACCTATTTAATGGATCTTACCACTTAAGTTTTCTCCCCAGGAACTCTATGGTTTCAGGCCTTAAATTCAAGTCTTTAATCCTCTTTGAGTTAGTTTTTCTGTGTGGCATAAGATAGGGGTCCAGTTTCATTCTTTTGCATGTAGCTTTCCAGTTTACCTAGCATAATTTTTAAAGAAACTGTCCTTTCCCCACTGCATATTCTTGGCTCTTTTGTCATAAAGTAACTGACCATCAGGTTTTTTTTCTAGGCTCTCAATTCTGTTCCATTAATCTCTGTGTCTGCTTTTATGCCAGTACCACTACTGTTTTGTTTATTATAGCTTTGTAATATAGTTTGAAATGAGGAACTGTAATGTCTTCAGCTTTGTTCTTTCTCAAGATTCCCTTGGCTATTTGGGATCTGCTGTAGTTCCATATAAATTTTAAGATTGTTCTATTTCTCTGAAAAATGCCACTGATCAAGATCGCATCGAATTTGTAGATGGCTTTGGGTAGTCTGGATATTTTAACAATATTCTTCCAATCCATAAGCACAGAATGTCTTTCCACGTGTGTGTCTTAAATTTCTATCCTCAATGTCTTATAGTTGTCAGTGTACAGGTTTTTCATCTCCTTGGTTAAATTTATTCCTAGGCATTTTTTTCTTTTTATTTCATTGTAAATGGGAATGTTTTCTTAATTTTTATTTCTGATCATTTATTACTATATAGAAATGCAGCTGGTTTTTATATATTGATTTTGTATCTTGCAAGTCTGTTGAATGTGTCTGCCAGTACTAACAGCCCTTTGGGGGCATCTTTAGGGTTTCCTGTGTATGATAACCGTATCACCTGCAAAGTTTTACCTCTTTCCTACTGATTTGGATGCCTTTTATTTTTCCTCCTTGAGTAATTGCTTTGGCCAGAACTCTCAAGACTGTTGAATAAACGTGGTGAGAATGGGCATCCTTATTTCTGATCTGAGAAGGCAGCCTCTCAGCTTTTCACTGTTGAGTATGGGGTTGGCTGTGGGTTTGTCATATGTGTCCTCTTAATATGTTCATGCACATTCCCTCCTATACCTGCTTTGATGAGGGTTCTTACTAAAAATGGATGTTGAATTTTGTCAATTATTTTTTTCTGCATGTTGGGATGATCTTCTTGGATGATTGCTGTTTTCCCTTTGTTAACGTGGTATATCATGTTGATTGATTTGTGGAGGTTGGACCATCCTTGCAACCCTGGAATAAATATCATTGGTTCATAGTGTATGGTCTTTATAATGTGTTGGTTTCAGTTTGCTAATGTATTGTTGAGGTTTTTTGCATGTAAGTTCATCAGGGATATTGGCCTGCAGTTTTTTATGGTGTCTTTACCCAGTCTTGGTAACAGAGTGATGCTGACCTCGTTGTGGAGGCATTTAGAATTCTTTGAAAGGTTTTCTGGCCAGAAGGTTCTTCACCGGCCACATCTCCCAAAAGGCTGTACACTCATCTGGGTGTCCAGAGCTAGAACTCTACCTTTGTGTATAAGGAGCATGTCTGGGAAGCCCCACAGAGGGTTCTTTTTCACTCCAGAAGGTGGGAGACTGACAGAGCATGTGCCTCACCTCTCCTGGGGCCGCATTTCTCACCTCCTGGGAGTTTGTGTTTTGTGTGCCCTGAGCAGCCTCACCAGTTGACTTAGTGTCTCCTGTACTTGCCCAGGAACAGGCCGGGCCCTTGCCATGGGGCACTGTCGCCTATGCCAC